TTCTCAACATCTTATAAAATAAATTTGTTAATTACCTGTTTGCGTGTGTTTCGCAGAATTATTTTAAAAACTATTTAATTAAATTTTAACGTTTCTCGAAATTTTATTCTTAACATTACCACCATATTATTTTCCAATAATATACAGATCAATTGCTTTAGTACTTTCATTTATGTTTTCCGTTAAAGTAAAATTCCTTTTTAAATTATTGGCAAGTGTTTATAAAAAGAAAACTTAGAATTAGTAGTGTTATGAAATTAAAGATATTCTGCTGATCAAAATTATTTGATACAGAACAGTTGACTATTTACGAAGCATACTGAAAAAAAAGCGAAATATGAAGATAAATTATTGTCTTTTTTATTGTTTCTTATTTATTTGAGTAATGAAAAGTAAATGCGTATGTGTGCACAGCAAAAAATACAACAGTTTGCTTTGTTTTTTAAATGAACAAAAAATTATGGACATACAATTTTATTTTGATGTCCAAAATTATTCTTGCCCGCTAACTTTAAGAAAGTTGCCCTTTTATAAATGATAACATTCAAAAAATTTACTTAAAAAGTTAATATTATTTCTCAACTTTAGCACGATTAAAAAAAAATATTGCTATAACAGGAAAATGCTCAATATGCCTTATTTTGGTAAACAGCAAATACTAAAAATGGAAAAAGATTTCAAAACCGTGCAATTTTAAAATCCTCATCTCAAATAATTGTTCTTTTTCTAACTGTAGAATTTCCTTAAGGCTGAAATTTTTAAGAGATTTTTAGATAACAAATTATTTTATAGAAGCAATTAATATGTTCAGCAAATAGTTTTAACATGCATTTTTTAGAAATTATAAATAGAAATTGTTCTTTCATTTCGCCGTAAAAAAATAAGAATATTAAAGTTGTTAACAATAATGTATGCTCAATTGAAATGTGACAATTATTTAATTACCGCTGAATTAAAATGTGTTTGGACGTAACATTTAATTGTTTGAAACAGTAAGAAACAATTAAACTTACTAGATAACTTATTCTTTTATTTTGTTATAAGCGGCAGGAAAAATGAGGAAACGTGGTGAAATGCCTAGTTTACCATCATACTTACTATTCATACGTATAAAAAAATAAAGGGTAGAATATAAAAAGTTTTTGATTTTGTCCTTCATTATACATTTCGTCCTCGTTTACATTTTCTTTATTTGTTTTCTTTTTTTTCCAATTATTATGTACATAACAAAATTCGCTTCATTTATTGTTCTCTTTGCTTCAATTTGTTTTTTTTTTTAAATTTTATAAATTTAACTAATGTGATACGCATTATTGTCATCTGTATCATCTTTATTGTGCTGTTATGAATTTTGTAATGGTTTACTTATGTGCCGAGTTTTGTGCGAGCTAGACTGTCGTCCAGACGTGGACTATACGGTTAAGGGTTTTGCAAACCTAGGTACGTGTCCACGTCTGGAAGAAAAGAAAAAAAAAAGAATATAAATTCTATTGAAATATGTCCTTAAGTATACACTAAAACATATCTAGAACAGATTTTGGATCAATGACTAAAAAATATATTTTCCAAAAATTTCGAATAGGGTGGAGACGTTAACTTACTTGAAATAATTGACTTGTAACTACTTAACTTCGATTTAAGGGGAGTGGGGTCATTCAATTGTTTAATTCGACTTTTAAAATTTCCCTTGTAGATGGAATTATTTAACATACTAAAAAATTTTTTTCAGAGCAGCAGTCAAAAAATAAATAAATATAAATAAATGAATTTAAAAAATGTACCGTTTCAAATTTTTTAGAAAGTTTGATGAATTTGCATTATGTTTTTTTCAGTCTAAGAGCCATAATTATTATTCTACGTAAAACTAATTTTAATATCACACTAAATATTTTAATTTAATATACTGTGCCATTAAATGAATAATCCCCTGAAACTAAAGCGGAAAGAAAAGAATTTCATTATCTTCAAAAAATATGAAAATGTAAATAAAAGACGACATTGATAACCAAGAATCTTGTTCTGTTCATAAGAATCCCGATTCTCTTGTTAACGATATTAGTTCTCTGCCCGTGGAACATAGAAAGGCATTTTGCCTTTCTCAGCTATTGCAGTTTTAATAGTTTTGCTTTTATTTTTTATTTGCCTCTTGGGGACTGCAGTTTTTCAAGTTTTATTTTTTACTTTTATTCATATTTTGTAGTTGCAACTTCACATTTCTGTTTTATATAACTTTCCCCCCCGTTCGAGCGAGTCTTAAGAATGGACATTCATTTTCTTCATATTTTTTGAAGCCGATAAAGTTTTTACCATGAAGTATAATGGATCGTCAGATCATTATTTTGATCAGAATCTTATGCTGAAAGCATAAAACACCTGTAAATTATTATTTTAACAGGGTTCATGCGGTCCTTAAAACATTAAAAATAACTGTGGCACCTATATTGAAATAAACAAGTTATTTTTAATTTTAAAATTAAAATTTCAAAACTTAAGATTTTGTTACCAGATATTTGAAGTTATATATTGAAATTGATTATTTAATACTGAGGTAAATATAACCTTAATAAAATACATTTTTTTTCTTAGTTTTGCTGCCACTATTATAGTTTCTTAAGGACTTTACGAATTCTGTTTAAAAGGAGACTATTGCATCAGATATATGTATGATGGTAAGAGTCGTAAAATAAGTTAGTATTAAAAGGAGTAAAGCAAAGAAATTTTAGCAGCAATATTTGGTGATCATAACTGTTGAACATGTTGAGTGACATTTTACGGTGAATTTAGGAAAATCTATTTCAGAATGTATAAAAACATCAGGATGCTATTTGCAAATTATCTTTAAGTAAAGAAAGCCACATAACTCATATATTTGGTAGAATGAAAAAATTTTTTGAAAAAAATGAATCATACAATATTCGTAAACATACATTTTTGAATCTTTCTATAATGTCACAAAACATTCACTTTCTTCTTCAATTATAAAAAAGAAATATTTACAAAACCTTGTGAATGTGCATTATAATTTCTTCCAGATATTTCATGGGATCTTTTTCATGATTTGCTCGGCAATCCTGTATATAATTAAAATAATACAAATTTGGTTTTCATGTACAATCTTCATATTTAAAGAAGTTAAATACGACTTAAATACAAATAATGCCATATCAAAAGTTCATGCGTTCAAATACTAAAATCTTGGAAAATAATATATAATTAATGAATTGATTCAAATTTTATTTTTAAAGGTGATGAAAATGAAAGCAATTGCTGCTATTTAAGCAGTAATCAACTAAAAACAAATCTGTTGCCTAGAAACTTCAAGATACTTTTCTATTAACAACCTAAAAAAAAAAGAAAAAAGAATGCCTTTTCAACTCGAGCTAACACAAAAACAAAAAATAGCTTCCTTCATTTTATTCTTTTTTATTCTCTCAGCTTAGTTGCTTAACAACAGAGTATTTCACTCTTGTCAATTATGTGGCTAGAGTATGGTTCGTTGTATTAAATTTTTAATTCTGCTTCGGCGATAATTCTTGCCATCTTTTTGGGACAACGCCGAATATATAAAACTTTCTAGCACCTTAAATTTTGATCCAATTTTTTAAAAAATTTGAGGGTCAGAAATCCAAACATGTAAAGGAAAAAAAATGTCTGTTCAGAGAAAGTGCGTTTTGTGCTTGATTTCGCAACTTAATTAATAGTTAGTACTAATTAATTAGCACATTTGAAGTCATCCTTAGCAGCCATGAAGATTGAAAATCCGATCATTAGAATGAAAGTTATTCAGGGTGATATTTTTTTTTTGTTCACTGTACATGGCAAATAATGATATAAATTACACTAGGATGAAAGTCATATGAAAAAATTAGGAGATTAAATTATCAGAAAATGATAACTTCTAAATGAAATAATAATAAATATATATTTTTTTATTGAAACACATATTTTTTTGCCTTTTATTATTACACATACAAGAAAACATAAAAAGATGACAAATATCACAGGTGCATTTTGAAATTAAAAACTACATTGTTAAAGAAAATATTTTCTTAACTGTATTTCTTTTTAGCTCCTTATTAAATTGAAATTATTATGGGTGAATGAGTTTTTAAACTTCACAAATAATACTGAATTTAAATTAAACCAAAATTAACTTTAACACAGTTTTAGATCATTTTGTTTCAAATAGTTTCTAAACATTTCAGTTACTGTAGAACGAAAAAAAAAAAAGAAATTTTGTTTTAAAAAAAAAGCTTTGATTACAAATGAAATGAAAATATCACTCTGAGTAGCAAACAGCAATGATTTTCGATTAATATATTTTTAAAAGTGTGCAAACAAAATATGAATTTCTAATAATTGCCTAGAAATGATTACAATTTCTAAAACATTTTTAATGTCTACATTTTTATGATTATTTAAGGTTCACATTCTAATATAGGAAAAAATGAAAACAATAAAGAAAAAGCTCAATTTTACATTTCAAAATTAAAATGATTACACTTTATGAACAATTATTCATTTTTATAAAGAGTTTTGTATAATGAAATCGTAACTTTTAATATTTACTAGCTTTATTCATAATGCATAAAAACAAGTGTAATTTTGAATAAGTAATTTATAAATATATTTAAAAATGAGCAAAAGAAAATAATATCATAAACAATCTTTGTAAAGGTTACGATAATTTTTTCAAAATTTTTAAAAACATTTAAAATAGAGACTAAATTGTTAAAAATGGGTGAAAACTTTCAAAATAGAAATCTTACCTTAACAAAAACAAAATAGTATTGTTTTAAGACAATATGAAGGAACACAATATAGATTTTTATATAACAAAAAATGCAAGAATCATTCAATATGAATGCAAATATGCAAGAATCATTCAAAAATAAATTATGATTAATTAATATGCATTATGAATTTCAATAATAGTATAAATAATTAAAACTTTGAAAACAGTAATATTATCAAAGATTAACAACTTTATTTTACACTGCAGTTTTTTTGTTCTTTATCAGAACTTAAAACTTTATTTCGAATTGCATACATATATACATAATTTTTAAAACATTTTTTGAGAGAAACATTTCACTGCTTTGGCATTTTTGGTTGAATAATTAGACTGTAAGAAATTAGAAGACCTTAAAAGATTACTGTTAGAAGCAAATGGGCTATAGGATGAATAAGAAGAGTGTACAGGATGAAATCCTGTCCCATTATTTTTAGGTTTTATAGCATGTGGAGTCCTTAATTTAATAGGTTTAAGTAAGCACTTCTGAATTTTTGGTGAAGGTAAATTAGATAAAACTTGGTTTTGATATGCACATAACTCAGAATATTTATCTTTGCAAATGTTGTCTGAGGATAAAATAGAGTTTTCTTCTTGTATTTTAATATTTTCACCATCAACCTATGTGAAAAGAAATTTAATGACATTCATTAAAAAAATTAACAAAATTGTTAAAGAGATTCAAGTAACAAACACAAAATTTCATGAATAGCAATCTTATCAGTTAAAAATTCAGCATAAAATAAATTTTTCTGATCTTGCAGTAACTCATACGAAGTATAGAATAGCAAATTCTGAGTTAAATAAGTTTCTAGAAAATTATGACACCTTTGTTATGGTAATTGAAGGTTAATTTCAATGAGCTTTAAAAGTTACAAAACATTGCTCAAGTAGAAAACAATTATGCATGGTTAGATATAAATTTTGAAAAGTACTTTTTGAGTGAAGGGCTACTTGCACAGCATGTTGACTAACGAAGGGCCACACGCATATTTAGTCATGTTGGCAGCAAATATGATAATTCTTATCTAAACATCAGTTTTCTAAGCACTAAATTTTTGTAGGAAATTAAATACTTTTAATTCTTAGAATTCATTCAAAAATGAAACAACACACTTTTTCAGAAAATTTATAAGGTTTAAACAAAAGCCAAAAATTCAAACACTTATAGTACAAAATAAGGTTCAATATTAATTTGGTATTATACTTCTTTAGATATTATTTATATTTCTTGAATTGGAGGTTTTATGAATTTTAAATGAGGAACTTTTCTTTTTCTGAAAAAAATCACATAAGCTGTGCAAAATTTAAAACAAAATAAATTACAAGCAGTGAGTAGTTAAAATTTTGTGCTTTCCTACACTTTTCAAATCTTTCAGGTTGCCATATCATTGTATTATAATTCGGGATTCTAAATACCTCTTACAAATGCATGACTATGACTGCTGAAAATATGAAAAAATAACTGCAGAAATAAATAGTATCAAAAAGTCATTAGAAACTCACATGTTGTAATAACATCGTAGTTATGGTAACGGAATCGTTAAAATCATGTGGGAAAGCATCGCAATAATTGAAAAGAAAAAAAAAGCTTACATTTAAGATTAAATCAGCACAACAATAAGTAATTATTTAAATGTATGATTTAAAATTCGCACGCCGTAATAAAAATAGGAATTTTCAAAACCATGCAGGAATGCATCGCAAAATCTCATGAAAAAATTATTGAAAAATAACTTGGATTTAAGGTAAAATCTGCAAAAACACAGCAATTCAAAAAGTGGTTTTTTAAATATGCAATTTGAAAGTTGCTTGTCGTAATAATATCGTAGTAAAAATACAGGATTTTCAAATTCACTAGGAAAAGCCTACCAATAATTGCCTTTAAAAAAAGAAGAAGAATTTAGATTTACAATGAAATCGGCACAAGTAAAGCTCGTAAAAAAGTGATAAATTAAATGAGCTATTTATAACTTACAAGTCAAATATTTTAAAAACCACAAGAATTTTAAAGACTGCATGTAGGTTGGTAATAAAAATGGCAAAAAGGGGAAGAAAAAAAAAAGAGATCAAAACGTCACTTGGATTTCTGATGAAATCGGCAAAAAAAAAGCAAGTCGAAAAGTGATCACTCAAATTCGAAATTCGTGCATAGTAATATCATGTTTAAAACATTGGATTTTTGTTTAAAACCATGCGGAATTTTGTAGCAATAATCGCTGAAAAGCGATCGATAAACATCATGGATTTACAATAGAATATGTGAAAATTGAGCGCATTAAAAAGTGATAACTCAAATGTGCGATAAAATTTTTTTTCTTAATTAAAAAAAAACAAAAACGTCCAGAAGCTTCTGCGGGCCGAGTAACAACAGTTGGCGGGTTGTGCACCCCTAAATTAGTATACATTAATGAATAATAAATTTTAACAAAAATACAAGAACATTTTAAATTATTTTTAAGTGTCATCATGTCATTTTAAGCAAATATTAAGGTAAAACAAACATGGTTTTATTTTTATGTACCTTTTTTGATTCATTTTTAGAGGAGTTTAAAGATGAATAAAATGATATGATAAGAAAATTTTTAAATTTTTAATCTATATAAAATATAAAAAAAATCATCAGTTTATAAATAAGAAATTATAATATCATTTCCCTAATATGAAAATAATATCGCCTAAAAAAAAATTATAACAAAAATATCATGTCTCCCCTCACTTTGACTTTTTCTTTAAATAAAGCTACATTTAATATTCCAAATTTCAAAGGCTCAAATAAAAATATTCATTAATTCTTACTAGCTAAAAACTATTTGTGCTGAATAACAATCAATCTCTATCTAAGTGCTGAATAACAAAAAAACAATAATAATAATTCTTATAATGAAAGTACTGTTAATCAAAGTGTATATATTTTATTTATAATGAACAAGTTTGTTATTAATATAATTAATTCTTATAAGACAAGCACAAATTCTATTCTATTGACAAAAAATTTGGTATTTTTTTTTAACACAACTCAACATTGACCTGCCCAGTTATTTTGAATAGCTCATATTATCTTTGACAATATATTTTCAATGAAAATTTTAAACTTTACACAATAATACAAGCCATATTTTTTTAATCCAACAAAGTGATTACGAAATGGAATGGATTAAGACCTAAAAAGCAGTTTTAAAGTAAAATGAACAGAATCAATAGTTACCCAATAATTGTCATTAGCTTTTAATTCATCATTGCTAACTTCACTTTTTTTGAAGAAGCCTTTTGACGCACCATCAGATGCTGAACATGAATTAATTTTACTGGTAATGCAATCAGTTTGAGTTTCAGCTACAACTAAAGTAGGGCATGACTTTGGCAAAGAAAACTAAAAATATAATAATGAACCTTGAATTCTGCTTAATTTAATTAATATTAATTACTATATTTTACAGAATATACAATTTTGTTTTAGTATTCACTAATCATTCACAATCCTCATCATTGATACTTAACTCTACAAAACTCAAACCCTTGGGCAAATTTGTACTGAAATTTATTAACTATGCACTAGTTTGTCATTTTAAATACTTAACGCGGAAAGAGGATATAAAGGGAGATTCAATAAAGTCCCTAAAATTGATGATTAATTCATAACAGGAGATGTTCAAATAAGTCTCTGGGGTGATTACCCTAAGAAATGTAAGCAATTTGATCAAATCTCTAAACTGTTTTTATGAAAAGATGAAATAAATTGTTTAGAGGTTACTTTTAATGTAATTAATTGGCTAATATTAATAATTGATAGTTAAGACTAGTGGTAACCAATTAAGTTGGTCAAAAGTATGGGCGAACATATACCGGGTAATGGCACTTGATCTTAAAGAAAATTATCAGTGTTGGGTAAATCGTGCAATGGTCCTTACTTTACTTGATTAACCTGATTCTTAAAAGATAAAAAAAAGTTATTAACTATCAATAGCCAGTGCCACATTCTATAGATTAATATTTTCATGAACTATATTTGTAAAGAAAACTTCTCAGTTTCTAAAAATTAAAGAGGGGTTAGGAAAATATTTCAATTAGAGAGTCGATTGAGGTAGAAAGCAAACTTTTCCTCATGTGACTTTTCTTTTACTTAATTCATGCAAGTATTTTGAGCAAAATGTGATCTCATGGCAAATGATATACTCTAAGTAGCATGCCATCTATCTATTACAGAAGAATAAAAGTTCATTTCCACCTATAGTTTGCATTAAGAAAAGGCATAGAAAATTTGTTTCATTTCTTTTGTTAGAAGATGCATAAAAAATGGCGAAATTAATCGTACACTTTCACTATGAAGAACAGTGCATCATCTTATATAAAATAGATTTTACAAGGATTGAAAAATGTAAAAGTGGTTTTGGACTCTTTCAATGATGATTGGCCCAATTTCATGTTCAGAAGTTATGGAAGGGGGATATAGGCATTTATGTAATAAAGATTTGGAAAAAAAATGCTCCATGAAATTTTATGAATTTATATTGAAGTATACCCTATACTCATTGATCATAATTATATATCATCAGATTTGCATAAATAAAAACTTTAATAAAGTCATTTTTAAAAGGTTCAAATTGTGGTAGCTCACATGCTAGAAACATCTCAAATGGTCACCACCTTTAAGTCAAAAATTAATATGAAAAAAACTAAGTAACTTGCATACCAACAATTGCTCTTAAAATTAATTTAGACATCCTAAAAAAAAAAACAATTAACATTTAAAAAATAAAATAAAAAATCGTAATTATAACCATAAAATTTCACAATGCAGAGATATCAATTTAAGTGTTAAAAGAATAAATATATAGTTATCATTAAACTCAAGAAATTATTAAGTTATTGTAAATTGATCTAAAAACTGAATTCTCAGCTTTTAAAAGCAATATTTTGTTTGGCTGCAGTTCTCCTCCAAAAGAGATTGGGCATCTATAGTTTAAGTGAATATTTAATAAGTATGATTATTTAGAAGTAGAAATCGGCACAGTAATTTTTTTGAAACACTGACATCATATTTTGAAATATTACATAGTTATTAACTACAAAAGTATTTATTGACACAAGAATTAAATCAGTACATTCATCTAACAAGTATAATATTTAGTGATACTTGTTTCATTCTACCTTTAGTGAAGTTGTGTTATTCTAAATGACCTAATCAACAAAATGAATTAGTACATATGAAATTTTTTTTTTGTCTAACCTTTAGAAAAGATCACATGATTTTTATCTTTTAAGGAATATTTATGTAGAATTTTTGGTTTTAATTCTTTGTTGAATTATTACTGAATCAATTACTAGACACATTTTTTCTTAATCATAAAGTATTCATTTCTTATGCACTATATCTTTAAATGGAAGATTTGTAAGATTTAAATAAGGACATCCTTTTAATAGTCCTGTGTATTAAGAACCCAAAGTTTCCAAAGTCCAGTGCAATCACTGCTAAAGAAACAGTCTTGCTTCCGATTTAATTGAATCTTGTCTGTTATTGAAGACAAGTTATGATCCAACCATGAGTGACACAGCTGATAAAGTTCAGCAACATGAGTCAGATTAAATGAGATTTAAAAGTAAAGATATTGTTTTATTTTTAAGTGAAAAAAAATGAAGGCAATTAATAATAAATTTTGAGTTGTATTGGTAAGTTTTAATAATACCAAAATTAAATGATTTTATTATTTATCCCGGTGTCTCTTATATATATATATATATATATACTTATATATATATATATA